AACAGCATACATTATTCTTCTATTCATCTAAAAACGAAAATGTTATTTGAATGCAAATAAATTGATTTTTAATAAACTCTACTAAAGTGGCTAACAGGCCTCCAATAAATTTAGTATGCAATGTAAAATGTGGATATGTTAGTAGTGGAAAATATGATTGCCTATTTGTTAAATTTGGCTATGCTAATATGGTTGGTAAAGAGTGGTGTGGAAGTGCAAATCGCATATTTAATATGCTATAAAGTAATTTATGCGGAATTATGCCGGATCATAATCCTGGACGATCTTCATAGGGAATTAACCAATCAAAATACACAATCTTTTAAAATGATTTATCAGTAATATTACTAGAAAACGACAAAAACCTCACATAAAGAAGCTTACAAATTAATAAATACACTTAAAAACATTTATCACATATGTTTAGCGAATAAATAGGTACGCGTAATGTGGGTAAATATAATATTTATTACTAAAAAGTCCAAACTCGTTAAAGAATCTATAAAATATAAACTAAAACTTTAATTTACGGTTGATAAATCCAAATACATTGCAAGAACCGATCAAATTTCAACATTAAATCCAGATCTTCTACTACTAAAGACTTGTACCTATTCAAATTAAACAGTTAGCAATAAAAATTTCTTTAAATCTAATGTAATAAAATAATTTTAAACGAAATATTTTTAGTTACCTTCACTTCGTAGTATAATTTCGCATAGCCCAATAGACTGTGTAATATTTTTTTATTCTAAATTATATAAGGCAGAAGGCTCGCTTAAAGCTAATAATAAGTTAGCAGTTTTGTTAGCTTGACCTTCGGCGATAACATTCATAGTTACCTTTTTCCATTTTACTGGTTGCTTAATAATACACATAGCAACTTCGCTTCTAAGTAGAGTCCTTGGTTTTTGGGATTATTTTGGGATTATTTTGTATGGTGAAAGGCAACGCTCTTCTAAAAAATTTTATTTTTCATAAGTACTTTAAAGTGTATAAATTAGTTACACGGGCAATTGATTTACATAAGCCAATCAGACCTATGACAATCCCTAAAATTAATTCATTTTGTGTAACGATAATCATGTGTTCGTGATGATAAAATTTGGATCCGAATTACACCTCAAATAACAAACATGCCAACGGAAATAACAAAAACCTATTCGGGTGCAGAGGTTGTTGCAAAGGCTCTTAAAGACCAAGGTGTCGACGTTGTGTTTGGAATTGTCGGCATTCCTGTTGTTGAAGTGAGTTGGCTAATTTAATCTATTGAAATGCTTGAATTTAAAATTAATATTTTCTGATTTACACAGGTTGCAGAAGCAATCATTTCTGAAGGAATCAAATTTATTGGATTTAGAAATGAGCAGTCCCTTAGTTATGCTGCGGGAGCTTACGGTATTCACGTATTAATCGATGTTTAATTTATGCTAAACATATTCACGATCTATTTGTTGATATTTCGGTTCCTTGTTTCTGAAACCTTTAAAAGGATTCTTAAGTGGTCGTCCAGGCGTAAGTATTACAAATCATACACATAATGTTTCTACATGCTATTCATTAGTTCCTATTATAGGTCTGTCTAGTAGTATCTGGTCCCGGAGTTGTACATGCCTTGGCTGGACTAGTCAATGCACAAGCCAATTGCTGGCCTCTACTTCTCATTGGTGGATCATCGGATACTTATCAACAAGGAATGGGTGCCTTTCAAGAACTAGATCAAATAACACTTTGCAAGCCTTATTCCAAAATATCTACAAGGCCATCTTCTATATCGCAAATTCCGAACGTGATAGACAAAGCAATCAAAACTAGTATTTATGGCCGACCGGGACCTGTTTACATTGATCTGCCAGCAAATTTTATCCAAGGATCTATTACTTATGAATCAATGAATTTACCAGGCCGTGCGACTGATTCTCCTAAATCACTTGCTGATCCACGGTGTGTGGAAGAAGCCGTTCGATTGTTACTGAGTGCCAAAAAACCGTTAATTATAATTGGCAAGGGTGCTGCTTATTCGTGTGCCGAAAAAGAAATTAATGAATTGATCAAGAAAACTAGAATTCCTTTCCTCCCTACTCCAATGGGAAAAGGTGTAGTTTCCGACTCTCATCCACTATGCGTATCAGCAGCACGATCCAAAGCTATTGCTAATGCGGATGTTATAATACTCTTGGGGGCAAGACTTAACTGGATTCTCCATTTTGGTGCACCACCTAAATTCAGCAAAGACGTAAAGTTTATACAAGTTGATATATTACCCGAAGAACATAATAATAATCGATGCATTCATGTAGCTTTATTGGGCCATCTCCCTCTGGTTGTTTCCCAATTACTTTCTTGCTTACCATCATCATTCAATCACCCATCGACATCAGATTATATTCAATCACTGCGACAAAAAATAGATGAAAACGTTGCCAGTACTAATGAAAAGTTTAAAGATGATACGATTCCCATGAGTTACCATAGGGCATTTTGGGAAATAAAAAAGAGATTGCCTCAAAAGGATATAGTATTTGTAAGTGAGGGAGCAAATACAATGGATATTGCAAGATCAATTTTTGATGTGCATGAACCTCGATGCCGATTAGATGCTGGTAAGTTTGTGATTCTTGTTCATTCTCAACTTAGTATAAGCATAATTTTTTGGCTTTTTAGGTACCCTTGCTACAATGGGTGTTGGATTGGGATTCGCTATTGCCGGTATGTTGTATAGTTGATATAAATTAGGGATGGTAAATGAACTCGTAAATTAAATAACACCAAGTCGTCAAATAATGACCAGGTCATTTGTAATCATTGGTCATACAGGTTATTTATCACGTGAAATCATTTTATTAGTTAAATAACCAATAGAAAATTAGTAATAATAATATCCTGATCCGTTGGGAATTAGCGGAAACGGAGTTTCCGCTTATTCACATACGGTCAGGGTATTATTAATTAATACTCCCGTGATCTTGATATAGTGATCGGGGTATTATTTCCATAATAAATGATAAACGTATCTATATAAAAATCAAAATCTTCTAAATTCATTAAGTTGTTCATCATAAAAATTTACACTACCATAAAAATTCCATGCAATTTAGATACTTGTTATTAATACGTTTGGCATTTTATGTATCTATGAAACCCTTTTTTCTTTCGTAAATACGTAAAATGCAAAAATGTACTAATAAAAATGTTATATAAGTTGCATGAAACTGTATACGCAAATTGTTACTATAAACAATTTTGTCAGAAAGCTGGAAATATTTTACATGGGGTATTTACTTGATTCATTTGGGTCATTTATCATCCTTAATATAAATCGCTAATGACTTATCTAATCCGTATAATATTGTTTCGATAGCAAAAGTTTACTATCCAAGTAAAAGGGTTGTCGCAATTGTAGGAGATTCTGCTTTTGGATTTAGGTAAAATAAATAAATAGGCACTTAAATGTCTATAGACCGAGTTAAAACTTATCTTTTTATATGTCATTAGCGCCATGGAAATCGAAACAGCTGTTAGGGCCCATCTTCCAATGATTATTATTATAATTAATAACAATGGCATATACCATGGTCTTGATATAGAATCATATAATGCGACATCCTTGAACGCGTTACCATCAACCGCGTTATTACCCGATGTAAGGTATGATCTAATTGCCGATGCTACAGGGGGTAAAGGTTATTTCGTGAGGACACCGCAAGAACTAGATGATGCTATGGAAGAGGCGTTAAAAGACAACGAAAAAGTTACAGTAATAAATGTGATGATACAACCAGGTGGTCGGAAGAAACTGGTATGAGTGAGATTTATTTTTTTATATTATGCGTGATACATTAAAATAATACTATTATTATCGTATAATCTTAGGAATTTGCCTGGATGGAAACGACAAAGCCAAAATTATGATCAAGTCTTTTCTTGGATCGTCTGACTGATTGCTTATAGTTATTATTTACTTTATTACTAATTCTCCAAATAATTTATGTATATCTAAATTTGTAAATTTATTATTGAATTGTAATATATGTGTACATCATCTCAATGCTGTCATTAAAAAGCTGATTATTTTGTGCATTCCTTGCCAATTATATAATTTTTATAACCTTTTTTACTTTATCCCTATGAAAAAAGTTTTACGAATTTTAAATGAATTATACGGAATATTTAGTATAATTCCGTATTATATACGGAATTATACTAAACATTCCGTATAAATCATTTAAATTCCGTAAAACTTTTTCATAGGGTATTACTATCTTGATTTAACAATTTTTTGTCATTTAATGATTAAATCCATTTATAATATTGTTCTTGAACACAACAAAGCTTCATAATTGCTCCATTTTAAAACTATCCGTGAGTGTAACTTATTTAAAAAAAATGGAAAATTAATACGCTTTTTATTAAGCTTAAAATTTTCGAAGTTAACAAAGTTTATTTATTCTTTATTGTCAATTGACTCCTCATCATGAAATCCAAGATTTTTCATTTCATCAGGAACCATTAATCCTCTAAAAAAAGTAGAAAATATATAAATAAAAAAATTTTTTGAAGACACTTAAAGATAGTCTTATTCTAGGGGATTTTCTAACCAAAATATGAAACAATGGAATTTTCTTGTTATCCCAAGATCACTAAAATTCCATATTTTTATGATACTTACTTATCCATCCTACATTTCAAATAGGCTTTTGATAAATGCCTACAATTTCCATTATTCCCTAAATTATCTTTAAGACATCGTAAATACTCTTTTACAAGCTGTTTACATTCCCCTTTTTGTTAGTTAAACATGTAACAAACTGTAAGAATTAGATATTAAAATCATGTGAAAACAACCATGTCGAATACCTTCATGATCTAAAGGAAAACTTCCTCTGTCTGGTGGTGTTGAATTAAACGTTGCGATATTTGGTGGTCGACCAAAAGACATCAAATTTTTTTACTACTATACCAGGAACGGAACGGAGTGTATGGTTCAATTCGAGTTTTACAAAATCTCGATTCTGATTGGATGCCCTAATTTTGTATGCGTTATACTAAAAAGTATGATGATCTGCATCCTTTATTGCACATGCACGAGATCTTGAAATCATGATTTTGTATGTAGGTGCGTGCGCGTTCACATGCAGTGTTGGCCGATGACCTATATGACCTTTGTGACCAGTCATGAGTCATTTGGTCATAATGAGGGTTAATATAACTTGACTTTTTTTAATATACTGTTATATGACCAAGGTAATATCAAAAAAAATGATATGACTTAGGTTATTGGCCATCACTATTCGCATGTAATGACTTGGTTTGTTTATTAAAAATCAATTTATTTGCATTCAAATAACATTTTCGTTTTTAGATGAATAGAAGAATAATGTATGCTGTT